AGTCTGGGTGCTCAGTGTCTATTATACCTCCAGGCTTGACTCCCATACTGAGTCAGGAACAGAGGTCCCCAGGCCTAGCCTCACCACTGCTTCCTACTGACTCCTACTGCTTGAGTAGGCAGAAGTCTTTAGTGACCTAAGGTTCTACTTGTCGCTACAAAAACTTGCAGAGAGGATATATGAGAGTTCACTTCTCCAAGAAAATGTCTGAGCAAGGCCAGGCGGTGGCTCACGCCTGTAATCCAAGCACTTTGGAGGCCAAGGCCGGCGGATCACCTGAGGTCGGGAGTTCAAGACCAGCCTGACCAACATGGTGAAACCCTGTCTTTATTTAATAAAAAAATAAAGAAAATGCCTGAGCAAGTGTTGAGAAACTCTCCCTCTGGGTCTGAGATGTGCTCCTCCCAGGCAGACCTGGGAACCATTCCAAGAGGCTCACCAAACCTAGACAGCCAATCTTGTGGAAGACAAACCCCAAAGCCCTGCTACAGTAGGAGGAAAAAGCCCTTCAGGCCCCACATTAAGCAAAAGCATTGCCCAAGAGAAAGGGTGAAGACACAGGGTGATGCGGCTAACAGTCGGATAAACCCCAAAGGGAAGGAAGAAGCCCAGGGGGTATGTGGAGCCTGCTCACCTCGGTGTAGTTGATCTTCTCACCATTGAACATCCGCTCCCGGGCAGCCTCCACGCCCCTGGACTTGGCCTAGGAAGAGGCAATACTGAGGCCTGGTCCCACCCACACTGGCCACTCCAAGTGTCAGCCTCTGAGCACAAGGCTTGGTGCTGTCCCCAATGAGACAGACAGATGGCTGCTGCCTAGTTCCCTCTCTCACTGTCTGGGAAGGGTCTGCTCAGACATCAGACATTGGGGTCCCTGGGATGCTGCTTAGAACTTAAGCCAGGGACAGGTGCCTCACCAGCAGAGGCGATCACCGAGGTCCAGTGAGAAGAAATACACAAGACACTCAAGGGCCCAGGGGCTCCCAGGAGCCCAGCTCGCCCACCACTCTGTGGGTTACCAGTTACACCTCCCCAAGCAGAACATTACCAGGTCCACCAGCAACCGCATCACGTCCTCCGTCACCAGGTTCTTGGAGTAATCCACCAGGATATGCCCATGGTTGGTGTTGAGGGTCAAGCTGCAGAAGGATGCAGATGCTACTGACCACACCCTGGTCTCCCTAGCGGGGAGCCGCACCCTGAGCAGGAGCTGCTCCCAAAACAAACATCTTCCCCGAGACACGCCCCACAAGGGCCACGGCCACCCAACACAACAGTGGTGTCTGTCACCTGCCAGCCCACAGGGCTTATCTACAATAGCAGGACCAAGAAAGAAGCCATCCTCACATACCCTAGATGCAGACAGACCCTGGGTGAGGAGACCGGCCTGAAGGGAGTGATCACCCCCTCCCAGGGCTTCCACTCTCTGCCTCAAGTTACTCAGGCACCCATCCAAATGACAGGGTTGGCCATCGGGACGTCTAGTCCGGAGTCACAATCGCTCCTGCCCCTCTCCACCAGCATCAGATATCAGAGCTCGCTGGGCCCCACCCCGCCCATGATTTCCTCCAACGCTCCTTCCCACTTCCCGGGTCGTGCACAGGTCCCTTCTGCAGGAATCACGCCCAGCGTCTCCACCCTTCCACCCGGCTCCCTCAACCCCCCCACACACCCCGTCTGGCCGCCCTGCAGAAGGTCCTAAGCCCATGTGGCCAGGAGCGGATGGAAGGAGACAGCCCTTTCCCGCTTGCTGCGTCAGCCAGGGCCTCTCCTCACAAATGCGAAAGGAGCCCCTACTCTAATGGCCGAGGCTGCACGGGGTGGGGGAGGGGAGGGAAATGTCCCCATGGAGGGCCCGTTTTTCCTCGTGACGAAGCAGCCCCGGCGCCAAGACCCCCGGCAAGGCCGCAGGCCCCCAGGAACGCGCTCCAAGGAGACGCCAAGGACGAAGTGCGGCCTCGGCCTGGGTCCCCGTCCGTGGCCTGGAGGTGGGAGGCGGGGGTCCCTGAGAACCGGGGCTCCCGCCTCCAGGCCCCAGCTCCGCGTGCCGGGCTCCGGTCGCCTCGCGTGGCAGCCCCAGCCTCCGGCCAGCCCGCACCTGAAATGGTTGAAGCGCTCCTTGTCGGCATCGAAGAGGCGGCGCAGATTGAGCTCGGAGCCGTGCTCCCGGTACCATTGCTGCAGTTTCTGGAACTGGGGGTCCCGGGTGAGAGCGGCCATAGTGGAACTAGAAGGTACGCGGGCTGAGACTCGCGAAGAGTAGGAAGGAGCGCCGACAACGCGCAGCTAGCGGAGCGCGGGGGAGCACAGCAGCCTTTATGGCGCAGGCGCAGGGCCCGGCCCCGGCCCCGCCCCCGAGCCCCGGCCCCGCCCCTCCCCGCCGCCCCGACACCCAGGCCGAGTGCCCGCTGGGCGACCTTGCCCGCGGCCGCTGATCTGGGGCCTCAGCTCGTCTCTCCCTACCCCTTGAGCCGCCGCTTTGCTAGCCTCTGCCCAGTAGTGGCTGTGGGGAGGGGTGGGCAGAGCCCGAGGATCTTTGGAGCCCAGGAGTTGGAGGCTGCAGAGAGCTATCATTGCGCCACTGTACTACCTGTGCACTGGTCGACTTCATTCATTCATTCATTCATTCACTCATTCATTCATTCGACAAAACTCTATAGATCGAACACCTTCCACGTTACAGGATGTATTCCAGGCGCTGTGGATACATAAATGCCAAATAAGCAAGTACAACAAACGATGTGTCAGTTGCTAGTAAGGGTAATTGAGGAAAAGCAAGATGAAAAGGGTGCTGAGAATCGGGGTTGCAATCAGGAAAAAGATACTTGAAAGACAGATGTGCCTGTAATCTCAGCTACTCGGGAGGCTGAGACAGGAGAATCACTTGAACCCGGGAGGTGAAGATTGCAGTGACTGCAGCCTGGGCAACAAAGCGAGACTCTGTCCCCCCAAAAAAA